GTTAAGCGGGGAGCACAGACTTTTGCATAACGCATAAAGCATGTGCATAAGGAATTTCATTGGTCCATTGACTCATGCATAAGAAAATGGACCAATGAAATTCCTTATGCACATGCTTTATGCGTTATGCAAAAGTCTGTGCTCCCCGCTTAACTTTTGTGTAGGAATGTAATGTTTACATTACGCGCATGCGCAATTAGAAAGAGAAAATTATACCCGCTAACATGCTATCTCGTTCACGTTTTCCACACTCTTTCAATTAATGTGTTAGCAGCGCGTTCCAGTTGTATTATAGGTGCGTTCCATTTCTCGCATAATGCGTACAATGCATCGTTTATCTTTGTTGCCCACCAAATGTTAAACAAGGACAATTGATGCATTCACGCGCATCAATTTGCAAAACGGAAAGCACCTTATATTGTAGTTCAGGGTGCGCGCCGCGAAGTGTCGCGGCGAGCGACGAGTGTGACGATACGATTTTTCCCTCCCAGCTGCCGCTGCCAGTTTCCACTGTTTCCAGTACCGCGAAGCGACGGCGTCACACAGCGTCACGACGCATGCAGCAAGTGCAGCAAGGTTTGGACTTTTGCGCGTTCCGCCCTATCGTGTTCCCATCGCGTCTGTTTCGTCCGCAGCGACCGCAGCTCGCTTCTCCAGGCATCGGTGATCGGATGTGCCCGGATATGCGCGCCGAACGTGTACTCGGTACGGCGGATCGACGAGTACGGCAGTACGACGAGCGGACGTAAAAACGGCGGCTGAGTCGCGCAACGCTCTCGACGCGTATTCCACGCGTATTATTGGTGAGGTGGTGGTACCGAGTGGTGCCGCGATCGCCGGTACAGTGGTGTGTGCCAGCGGCAGTGGTGGAATTCAGTGGAATTTCAAGGCGAAACCGCTTGGGGAAACCGCGTCTTCGTCTCCCAGATCCGACAGGTAAATACAACACAAATACTTACGTGCACCATGCGCGCGATGGCAAGACGCGGCGGCGGCGGCGGCGACGCCGATGATCCGCTTTGTGTTCGCCGCCACAATATACGCGATGCGATGTAACGTGTCCGACGGTGTCGGTGACACGACACAGTGCGACGCTGTGCGCGACGCATCGACGGACCTGTTGATATCGCTCCGCTTATCGCAGCGATACCGCCGCAGCTCTCGCCTCGAATCGCTCGATCGCGGATCACATTCACCGCATTACCTTATTGTATCTAAGATTTGTTTCATTAGCAGGTGGATTGTTTGTGACTTTACGGCAACTTAAATCGTGTGAATCGCAAAGACTTTCAGAAACAGACCTCGCGAGCGCGTAATCAAGGTGACGTGCGTGCGAGCGATTACTCCGCGTTTAGTTCAGTGTTACTTACGCACTGCGAAAATTTCGCAAAAAGAACCAACTTTTAGAAACTTTTTCTTGTACAGAAAATCTATAGATAGCACAGCTGAAGACAAACGGCTTAATTACTACGAATTAGCAGAGCTCTAATTGGAAAATTAGTAGCAAATTTGGTCACTTGTGTTGCACTAAATTAGTGCGTACTAAGAGAGAGAGTTAATTGCTAAACGTGAAAATAAAACAAATATAAAACTACAAACGATTAAATTCCTCAAAAATAATATTGTCACATTATTTAACATTATTTTATATGCATTATTTTATTGTCAAAGTTTATTATATTATTGCACTTGTAGCGAATTTCTGTTAACTTTCATTCATTTAGACTATGCATTGAAAGCTTTTGCTAAACAAACATAGTATGATTGTAAAAACATACAAGTATTTTAAATGATTAAATAATGATATTATTAAATATTATTTAAGAGAATTCACGTGCATTATCTCATTGTCAAAGTTGACTAAGTATCGTTGTATTGTCGTTGTTTTATTCTTGCACTAACAATAAGCTTTTGGACTAGAACTCTTGCTTTCGCCAAATATCAAGTATATATTTATCTCACTTTAAGTTCCAAAAGTGTCGTTCAGTTACAGAAAACTGATTTTGTATCGATGTAACAACAATGTAACATTGACAGTGTCGTTAAGAATTCAGGGGCTTTAAATACTTTATATTATATAGGTATAAAGCTGCCTTTAATGTGCGACTAAAAATCCAGTGCCAGTGACCGACCGAATTCATCATCTTGATCCACATTTACACGGTGTGTGATACGAATAGAAAAGGAACCATGCCGAAGAACATCGCGAGTGGGTGGGAACAGGAGACGATTGATCAAACACATGGACGCGAATACCTATAAATACATAACAACGCCGCCGTAAACAAAGAGCGTGGGAGAAATAGAGAGAGACGTATGTCGATCTTCCCGTTGCGTCGCACGTAGTTTTATTATATCACGCGACAAAATAGAATAGCAGTGTAATTCCACTGCGCGCTTTAAATATTCGCTCCCACGCGAGTGCATGTCCGCCAACTTTTTAAACGGCCCTTGTAAAACGCCGCGCCGATTATTATTAGCACCTTTCACTCGCTCTTTACGGTAGCCTTCGGCGTTTAACATGTGCGTGTGTGTACACATATATCGCTAAAATGCCTTAAGCTTGCATTTTTTAATTACTTTACTCAACCTTCATTTTTTTTTTATTTACGGTTTATCTTTAACTTGATAATTTAATCTTAATTCACCCTCCATTTTTAACCTAATTATTGTTCATGTGTAATATTAATTTTTGTTTATATTTTTTGCGTAAATTTTTTATCAGTCACGTTTATCCGCCAAAATACTATTTGACCGCGTAATTTCTAATTCATTTGTCTTTAGTTTTTGAATTAAACGGTTGTAAGTTATCTTTAATTTATCCTTCATTTACATGTGAACAATTCAAGGTTGCTTATGCAGAACCGTTAATCTATCGGATTGAGGATACAAGATCTCTTTTCTATTTTCATTATCGATATCAATAGCTTCGTCAAAAAGTATTTTGACGCAGATAAGTATATACATATGAAAATATCTTGGATTGTTGCTCACAGACGTTGAGAAGCTGCGTTCAGATTTAGGGCACTTGAAGGTATTCTTACGTAATGACAATACAACGCAACGTACCCGCGACCTTCGTGCTCCTTTCCTACGGCTTCCTTCACAGTGTCGTAGGAAAGATCTGTGAGAACCGGAATCGGCGCGGCACGAAGCATGCAACCGCGTGTGAATTGAAAAAATACTAGTATAACCGAGCGATGATCAGCACTGGCACTGGAACGACGATAATGTTTATAGAAAGTATGAATGGGTAGAAAGTGTATCCAACGGCGTTGAACTGACGGCTGCGAACGCGAAGCGACGGCGAATTAAAAAGTTAAAACTCCCCTCCCGCGTCCATCGCGCCACGCTCGCGTACGTTTCTTGTCGGACAGCGTTGACAGCGAGCAGCTGATAAAATCTATCGACTGTGCACGGTGTCTTGCGCTATGTCATTGGCAATCGTTTCAGAGAAGCCGATCTTTTATTGTGAAAATTATGTATCTAATAAACAATAAGCCGCCACGCACTGCAAGTCCAAGTATGTAATAATACGTTATATGTGCAGTGATTTAGATTTCCATGTAAAAATAACACACCTACTGTACACGCAAAAATAGATTTACATTCAAACGCGTAGTACAGTGTTATTTTTATACAGAAAACTACATCACAGACACGTACCATATACATATATATGAAGGTACTTTCTACTTGGATTTGAAGTACGAATTTTGGAGGAATCTCAAATGTGACGATAAAACCGCGTAATGCTTATTTTTTATTAATTTTAATTTCGGTTCAACTTATCATACAGCGTTTTCCACGGTGCAACACTGGTGGACGTTTAGTGCAATTAAATGCAAATCAATACATATATTTTCAGTGTCAATAAATAATTTAATCTTTTTAATTACATATCCTTTTTTGTTATGAAAAGTTCATAATTTTAAAAGGATTAAATTATTTATTAACACTTAAAACACTATTACTCTTCAACGTTTTTTAGTTGTAAGAATTAGGAAAAGATGAAGAATAATCGAAGTTAAACCTAGATAGATTAATCTACATTGGTTGTTTTTTTAAGTAAATTCTACTAAAAATTTTCTGAAAAGTAAGTTTATGTTTGTACTTTTACATGGTAATCTGTATAATATTGAAACATTTTATTTAAACTATCAAGTGGATTCGAGAAGGAACAGAGATTCGGCAATAGGAGAGTTTCGGCTCGCTTTGTCTACTTACCTACCTACGTGCAACGTGAAAATGTGAAAT